GAATAGCGAATTTCAAATAACCTGGAATGAACTTAAGGTCGCGCGTAACCTCGAGTTTATCTAAGATCGAAAAACAGACTCTCGTTCACGAAATAGTAGACCTTAAAAAAAAAACGAATAATATGAACTATAAGCGTTCAATTAAACTCCGAAGTCGATGTTTAAAAAAATTTTCTTGGACCGAATTGTTTAGCCTATAAACTTTAATTATTTATTTTTGTTATTAACTAGTCCCAATCAAGTATTAACTATATAAAACCATGGAGCCAAAATTTCCAAGTATTAATTCGTTTTATTCGTATATCTGGACTAAGAAGTGTTATCATGTCTTTGCTATTTAAAAAATACGTAATATTGACAACAAGTGACCTAATGTGGGAAGCTTTAAATTCAACAAGAATTTATACGTAAAGTAAAGTAAGTAAGTAAAATCTTTTGTCCTAGAATTGATATCTGAAATGTGCTCCATTGGAAAATCTTGGGATTTTGTTAATCGAATTCGCCAAAACGGCACCACCTATTTGGAACACTCTGTAATACCTTGATCGTTAGCGTTACAACAGAATTTTATATGGGGAAATCAAAATATGAAACAAAAAACACTTAACCTCGATTTCTGCCTAAGCTATGCAAAATTTGAATGGGAATTTCTTAAGTGACATTTATTTTAACCAAGGATTCCAAAAGTTGGGACACCCTGTATCAACAAAATGAAAATATTTTAAATCTTCGGGAGAGTCCAAGAAACTTTTGTACAACACTTTTTTCGTATCCCCTATAGATTGCCAGATCGTACAGCGCATCATTTTATTTGGCACACGGTGTATTGCTATTTCCCTGCAGAATTTTCAAATAGTAGTGGCCGAAAAAAAAAAACAATCCGGAACCAGTTAATCATCCACGTGGATCCTGAATGACCGGTTCACGATCAGTTACGAATTCTTACGCATAGGTTTCTAACCGATAACTTCTGCCAAAATTTCGGCTGTCGGCCGGCAAACTGAACGGAATCTCGTGTGCGAGTGTGTGTGTGTAGATGTAATCTCGGATGCCGAATAGGCACTCGACGTATGCCGGCACGCAGTAGCGGCGCATAGCTGTGCCGTTGAACCCGAAGGCCCCGGCGTCTACACGAATATTGTTGCGTGCCTCTGACACATTTTCTTATTCGCACGCGCTTATATACATACAACTTCCTCGGCGAACTCCCCCCCCCCCCCCCCCCCCCTTGGAGTCGCTCCGCGCCGCTCGCCGCACGAAACAATTTTTATTTTTTTATCGGACGGTTTGCCACGAGTTTGATCGATACGCTGGGAGTTCCGTTTCCGATAGCAAATAGGCCAGAGAGCTTCGATCTAAGGAGAGGCGACAGTGACCGGCTCGGTTCTTCGAGGAGCATGGTCGAACGTCTCGGGTATAAACGTTAGTCTTTGAAAGGTGATTTTTTCAGGTCACTGTAATACTTTTTACAAAGCTTCTGGATTCCTCCTGCGTCGGTTTTTGCTGAGTCGAAATTGCTGACGTTTCGCCAATCGCCAATTTCAGTCAAGCTCTGAAGAAGCCAACAGGATGATTGGCGAAACGTACTTCGTGCTTATTAATCAGATAGTCTTTCAAGCGAAAGCATTTTCTTCTCCTTCCTCCAGGGACATCACTCCTCTGGCTGGACCTCGCGCTTCTCTTAAATTTTTCCTTAATTTCCTTTTCTTAATGATACTTAGCAGCTCATTTTCTTGTTGCATGCGCAGTAATACGAATTGATGGATTCATTTAATGGATACATGCTTTGTCCACGATATTCTCAGCATAGGACAAAATTTAAATACAAAATAAATGTAAAAATCCAAAACGTAAAATGTCAAATAACAGTATGTAAAAATGTAGAATAAATGCAACCCATACGATATCGAGCACTTAGTGAGAAAAGTGTTAAAGTGCTGCTCGATTCCGATTTTAATTATCTTAAGGTATATATATATATATATATATATATATATATATATATATATATATATATATATATATATATATATATATATATATATATATATATATATATATATATATATATATATATATATATATATATATATATATATATATATACAGTGTGTCCAAGATAAGGATGCACAGCATGGGGATCTCGGAAACTATAAGAGATACAGTGTCGGTTAAATTAGACAAAAGTTGCGCATTTTGATACCGAACAAGATCCCGTTTTACAAATTTGAAAATTCCAAGCCGTTCCGGAAATATCCGAGAAAAACCGAAATATTGCGATTTCGTGTTTATTATTTTTTAAAGCTATTTGAAAAGATATGAAAAAACGGAAAACACTTTTCCATTGGCACTTTTTAATCTCTCCAAATTGACGTTAACAAATTTTCATTACAGCGTTTCGATTCCATGGAACCACCATCAACTTTGATTTTTCTTATGGGACGGAAAAAAAGTACACACAGTATTAGGTTGTGCTTTTCATTGCGAATTCAACGATGTACGATACAATACGGTTACTTATGTTTTTATCCAGAAAAATGGCTTTTTAATACATTTCTAGTATTTTATTGTAGTAGGCCATGAGATCCGAACGATGAAAGGCAAAGGAAAATGGTTGACAAGTTCGAGTTAATGTGTTTATTTATTTACTAACTCTAACTGTTCATTTAACATAACAACTAAATCCAACAAGTTAATGAAAAACAAATTCTATAACAAATGTTCGAATAAATGACCTCCATTTTCTAGGCATAAGTACGCCCGTCTCACGGTAGACTCCAAAACACGACTTAACATTTCAGGAGTAATTTTATTAAACGCTGCTCGTACTGATTGACGTAATTGTTCCTCGTTGTCAAAACATTCTTTGAATACCTCATTTTTTATGTAGCCCCATAAGAAAAAGTCCAAGGGAGTTAAGTCCGGGGACCTTGGAGGCCAAGGTGTTTCACTGTAAGTCCCAATGTATTTTCCATCAAACCGTTCAGTTAAATATTGGCGAACTTCTCTGGAGTTATGGGCTGGGCCACCATCTTGTTGGAACCAGCAGCCTTGCACAGCGCCTAGCGGTAAATCATCTAAGGCATCTTCTAAATCGTGCCTCAAGATGTCAAGGTACCGCTCGGAAGTTAAGGAATTATTATAGAAAATAGGGCCTATAATCTTGCTACCAAAAATCCCACACCAAATATTAAACCCAAAGCGAACTTGATGTCTGGATAGTCTATTAACACGTGGATTTTGTTGCGACCAATAGTGTGTATTGCGCCTGTTATAAATACCGTTATTGGTCACCATACTTTCATCAGACCAAATCACTTTATATGGAAAATTAAAACTCTCATCACACATCCTGGTATACCACTCACAAAAATGTCTACGTCGTTCGTCGTCACCCGGTTTTAATCCTTGACATATTCTGAATTTGTAAGGCTTAAATTCATTTTTCCTTAAAATAAACTGAGCTGTAGATTTAGCTACCCCATTCTGGTCTTCAATTTCTCTGGTAGAAGTTTGTGGATTTTCGATAACAGATTGTAGAACAATGTATTGGTTTTCTTCATTGGAAGGTTTTTGTCGGGATAATGCAGGCTTCTTAAATGATGCATATTCTTTCAGATTAAATAACAAACGCCGAAAAATACTCTTGTCAGGTTGTCTCCGCTCTGGGTATTTGTTAGAATACATACGCTCGGCTTCCACACAATTTCTTTGGCACCAGATGTAGCAAGACAGCATATCACATTTTTCTTCGTTTGTAAAATTACCTCCCTCCATTGTAGAACAAAATAAATTAGAAAAAGACAACAACAATAAAAATACAAAAACAATAACTAAAGGAATAAACTTATGATCGACTGATAACAAAGACAAATAACATTAATGTGTCATTGAAATTGACTGGATGTCATTTTGTCATGGCCTACTCCATTTAAATGCTGAAATGTATTAAAAAGCCATTTTTCTGGATAAAAACATAAGTAACCGTATTGTATCGTACATCGTTGAATTCGCAATGAAAAGCACAACCTAATACTGTGTGTACTTTTTTTCCGTCCCATAAGAAAAATCAAAGTTGATGGTGGTTCCATGGAATCGAAACGCTGTAATGAAAATTTGTTAACGTCAATTTTGAGAGATTAAAAAGTGCCAATGGAAAAGTGTTTTCCGTTTTTTCATATCTTTTCAAATAGCTTTAAAAAATAATAAACACGAAATCGCAATATTTCGGTTTTTCTCGGATATTTCCGGAACGGCTTGGAATTTTCAAATTTGTAAAACGGGATCTTGTTCGGTATCAAAATGCGCAACTTTTGTCTAATTTAACCGACACTGTATCTCTTATAGTTTCCGAGATCCCCATGCTGTGCATCCTTATCTTGGACACACTGTATATATATATATATATATATATATCATATGATGCACGATAAATTTTTTTCAAACCGTAGACAAAAATAATTCAAACAAAAACCATAAACAAATTCACAATAGGAATTTACACAAACTCTGTTTCTTCTGATTTAAAACTTAAAAAGTACAACAAACATTAGAATCTTCATTTTAAAATTACGATTTCTTCAGATTAAAATAAATAAACAAAATGACAATGACAAAAAGTTGCTTGTGGCAGTTTTTTAAAAAGAAATTTAATAATAAAAAAAGTAAGGTGCCGAAAAATGACCCCCCCCCCCCCGCCCAACTTGCAGTTTTCGTACCTATACGCAATCGAGGAAACGTTTTATTTTAAAATTAATCTAAAATTAGATAGCCGAGTTTAGCGGTCATTAAGAATGCTAAACGATATCTATAATAACCCCACTTTCATCGATCGACCTGATCGCGTACCCTATATTTATAGTGACGGAATATTTTATAAAATGAGCATAATGTGGCGCTGAACTGCTAAATGATTTCAGTGAATTTCGACGAATAAAAAGCTTAATCGCATAATCGATCAAGCGAATTACTATAGGAATAAAATCAACGGCTCCACTTACCTACTATACTAACTAAAGATGACACTAAAACTAGAACTAGAAACGACCAGGGTGGGGGGTATATCCGTAGATACAGCTTGGATCGTCTTCGACCTAGAAAATAAAAAGAAATTGGCATTAAAAGCGAGGCGAGTTATTACATCTATCTAATTTCTTTTGATGGGAAAGAGGTTTGATCGGCATTGTATGCACAGAATGAGTAAAACTATGGACGTCAATTGTGCTAAACAGCAGTGCAAAAAGTGTACCCCTTTCTTGCACTCCGTTGCGCGCTGCAATAGTCCAACAATATGAATGAAGTTTACCAGCTTTTAAACAAACAATGAAATTTAAATGATAATATTTACGGAAATTTTTATTATTCCGGAAATGATAACCATCGAGTAACGAAGAATATGACTTCGTCAGTAATGTGATTATAATTCAACAGAATTGAAGTAAAAAATATTTCCTTTTAAAATTAAACAGAAATTAAAAAATGTAGGTATAATATTAAATATAAAAAAAAACGTATTATAATAAATTATAAAAAAACATATAAACCTAATTTTATTGTGTGTCTTTCACGGTTTACCTGAACTTCAAAGTCATGGCAAAGTTTGGTAAATTTAAAAATACAGTAATAGGCAAGTAAATTAATATTTTTTCGAAAATCTCCAGCGCCCTGTACTATAGACGAAAACTGTAAATACGAAAATTGTAGCTCTCGACACAGTTTACGACACTCTTTAAACTTTAAATCAAATTGACGACAGAAATTTTCAGGGTCTTTTAGATTTTCCTGGTTCATGAATTGTTCCAATAGAGTAAATGGTTTTCGAAAAAATATTTGCTTTCGGAAACTGTGCAGTATGTTGTAAGAGCAATTGACGTCATCGCGTTTAGATTTTTTTAAATATCTCGAGCACGTTATGTGATATTGAACAACCGCAGATACCAAAATTATAGCTCTCGCACAAATTGTCATATTTTCAAAGAATTTTAATTTATGGCCAATAATTTACCAAAATAAATAAGAACTAAAAGTTCAGATGTTCACGAAATTATATTTGATTCGACAACACCGTGTCTTTATCAAATGATATCAAATGATAAAGACACGGTGTTGTCGAAACAATTGTCATGTCATAATATATAATTTCGTGAAAATCTGAACTTTTAGTTCTTATTTATTTTGATAAATGGATTTTCAACAAGTAAAAGCCACCTCAGTCCAATAATTTACCTCTAAAAAGGGTCATTTAAAATTTTGGCCATAATTGGAAAACCCTGTATATAATGCTTTAAATAAACACTACAGTCCTGGATCTCCCGCATATCGTGGTTCTAGATAGTTTTCGAGAAAATAATTTTTTCCATGAATTGAAAATTATTAAAGAAAAATAACTTCAAAAGTTGAAATATGAGTGTGCAAAATGACTGCAAATTTGAGACACTTATTATATTTCTTCATATAGCAGGGAATATCTCGAACACCCTGTAAAATTCGAAAAAAAAAAACTTTAAATACATGGATTCAGCTGACTATATGGCTTATATTGTTGTATGAACGAATCTGATGAATGATAGATAGAATTTTAGTAATTCAAATTTGCTTAAAAGAAAAACCCATTTTTGACGCATTAGGCGAATCCTCTGCGTCTTTTCAGATTCCATAAACGCGCTTTTTTTCAATGGCATCCGTCGGGGAAGAAATATTTATACACGTATGCCAAATTTCAATTCGAAAGCTTCGAAAATAGCCGAAAATCGAAAAAAAAAGATGGAACCCGAGGTCCGATGGCGGCCATTTTTTATTGGCTTACTTGTCCCTTTTATACAAAGATGTAGAAACAGGAAAAAAAATTGTGTGTTGAAATAAGTTTCAGACTGTATACTTAAAAAGATTTTATTTCATCGATAATTTTTTTACAACTGCCAACCTTATAAATGCAATACAACACAAAAAGGCCATTGATGCCAGTTAAAAAACACCAGAAGTCACGTGACGTTCACGCATCCGGGTAGTGGGCCATTTGCAATACGTTGAATGTAATTAAAAGTCAGTTTATTATTTAAAATTAAAAAAGTGATCCTCGCAAGACACGAGCTATAAACCGCAGCAGCCGTAGTTCCTTAATAATTTATAATTCCTTAGAATTCTTCTTCGATCGCTTAGATTTTTTTAAGAAATTCGTCCATACTGTACCGTGCGTTCAATTTATCTTGACAACATTTTAATTGACTAAAACTTTTTTGTTTTTAGAGATATCACGGTAACAAACAAACAAAATGTAGGGTTGGTTAGGAGCCACGTGTAAAAACAAAGTATAGTAGAAAAGTATAAAACAAAACACCATCAATTTTCTCACATATAAGCCTACATCATTTTTTTTTAAATCGAACACCCTGTATATTATATATGTGTTTAATAGAATATCTTATTTCGATTGCAATGATATTATTGCTTGATTGATTGATTGATTGATATTAGTGATTACACTTTATATTTTAGTCCACTCGTTCTTGACAAATCGGCCATTTTTATATAGCTTCAAAGAGTGAACTGACTGACAAATAAAAATATGTTTATATTTGAGACATTAGTAAACAACGTTGATGGTTGAATTATTGCCCAAGTCATTATTGTTAAAATGGTTTTTAGCATCCGTGAACGGAGTGATATGCTTCAAGAATTTTTAAACATCAAGAACATCTATCAACGACGTCAGAGCTCCCCAATGTTTTGTATTCCATTTCATCAAGGCAACTATGGCTATTTTTCTCCTTTAACTCGAACCTTGACGTTATTTCACAGTTGCTCTCTTGATCCCTTTGCTGGCGATCGTCGACTATTTAAGACAAAATTAAAACATGTGGTTGAATGTAGTTGTAACTAGTGTGATACTGTTTGTTTACTGTTTTTGTGTTTTTATATATTTATATTGTTACTTTTTCTTTGTAAATTGGCTCAGCGGTTGAAATAAATAAATAAGAATACTTTCTGAATAATGAAAGTGCAACCGCAGCTCGTCGTCAGTAAATTAGACTTTCTCCAGAGCGCTGAGCTCCTTCATAAACTGATATTTCCACGGCCGGCAAAGAAATTTGCAGAAAACGGCAATGCTAAAAAGGTGAAGCACATCCAGTTTCACCTATGAATAGAATATATGAAGAGACAGGTATTTCTCGGGGATCAATCCACTCAGTTTTGAAAGAGTATTTATTATTGCATTTAAATTTCGTAAAACTCACAAACTAAGTGCAGAACAACGCCAAAATAGGTTGCAGTTTTGTTTGGATTTTAATATATATTTTTTTAAACCTTATGATGAAAGTTCGTTCACTACAAGAAAAGGTTGTAATAGACAACATAGGCTATATTGGTCTTTATATAAATAAAAACCCAGGGGTACCAATCAATTAATGTATGGTGTGATGTCATAGATGGGCTTAATTTTGGGTATTTGTAGATCAAAAGTTAATTTTAGATCATTATTTGCACCTCTTAGAGCACCAAATAGAACAATATATAGAAGATTTACCCCTAAATATTATGAGGCAGCAAGACTCACAATGTTGTGCAAGTTAAAAATTTCCTTAACATGGAATATCCCAGGGGTTGGATAGAGAACGGCGGAACTATGGATTGGCCAGCCAACAGCCCCGACTTAACTTTAATGGATTTTTTTCTTTTGGGGATTTAACTTTAACGGATTTTTTTCTTTTCGGGGCACATAAAAAATCACATGCATAGAACTCCTTGTAATAACGCCGTGAGGATTTCGGAGGCAATCAATCAGTTAAGAGACAATCCGTGCGTGAAAATGCATCCAGGAACATACAGCAGTATTTAGAATAGTCAAAGAATTTTTTACTTTAGTGTGTCTTGTCATGTTTAGTGTTTAATTTGGAAATAATTATTGCTGTTGCCGTCAGGACGCTCTTTGAAATTTTAACTGATTTGTCAAAAACGAGTGAACTTAAATATGGAATAACATATTATATTAAACAACTATATAATATATAGGGTGTTAAATTTAGAAAAATATGATGTATACTTATATGTGTTTTGTGTTCATTTGGAAATTAACTTGGCAACTAACCCTACATTTTGTTTTTTCGATATTTCTAAAAATAATAAAATTACAGCCAATTAAAATGTTATCAAGATAAATTGAACGCACGATACATCAGAATTCCCGTGGGGTGCACACTCTCAGTATCTACTTTTTTAATATATTATTATGTATAAGCTGCGAATTTTGATGTTATCGGACTTATAGAAGGACCGTTCAAGAATCTAGCGAGGTGCACTTTTCAATGCCCGACTTCAACCGATATCACGGTCGTTGTATGCATTATCTTATCTCTCCCGGCTTTCTCGTTTGATCTGGCGCGAACTGTTTGGTTAACGGATTTCGGAAAGTAAACGACGATAAAGGGGTCAAATTTTCTACGCACCAACAAGTTTCGAACAAAATTTTAATAACAATTATCGAGTCCAATGGACTCTAAGATTGTGGCTTCCGTGTTCGAATTCGTATGACTACCAAATGCTACTTAATAATAATCTTATTAAGCCAGTAGGAAGTGCAAAATTAAAATAATATTCGTATACATTTTCTTGAATAGTGATTATACATTCAATATATCAATCAACAACATCATCTAATGAGGATAGCCAATGTTACCAATTTACGAATTATATTAAACATGCACTTAATGATCTTAACCTTACTCGAAATAAAATAGATAATCTCCCGGAGCTTTCAAGTGGTTGATGGTGTTTCAATTGCTCAAATATTATTATTATTATTATTATTATTATTAATTATTAATATCAATTAGCACAATTTTATAAAATATTGGCAAGAAATGATTGGAACAGCTAATAAATAGGCACTTGTTTCAAAATAAAATTGAAAATGGCCGGTATTTAAAGTATTTAATATGTTCTTATAAGGGTAATTAAAAAACAAAACAACAGAAAATCAAAATATTTTACGAAATTGTAATGAGAACGAAAAATTCTGAATTAACAGAAACCATTGAGATTTTGATTCGAGATTAAGTTTAGAAAAAGCATCAAATGATGGAGATTACGTTGAAAA